CATTTTATTTGTGTGTGTGTGTGTGTGTGTGTGTGTGTGTGTGTTCATGGATACACTTACCACAGTGTACAGGTGGAGGTCAGAGGATGACTTGCAGGAGTCAGTTCTGTCCCTCCATCATGTGGGTCCCTTAGGATCAAACTCAGGTCACTGTGCTCAGTGGTAAGTGCCTTTAACCAGTAAGCCATCCCCCATCATGCCTCCTCCCTATCTCCCCTCTGGATCACATGCAGTCTATAGGGAAGCTGGCTACTTCAGGCCTTCTCCTGAGGGAGCCAGCCCTGCCTGGGTTGGAGTGGGGCAGCTAAGCACACTGTGTGAAGGGTGCTGACTCTTCTATGCAGAAGTCCCTAGCTTCAGTGAGACAAACACACACCCAGATAATTACATGAGCTGCTGCCAGAAGAGCCATCGTTAATTTTTATGGCAATAAATGGTCTTGCCAGCACGTTAAGCTAATTTCATGAAAGCACTTGGAGGAAGGTTACAGGCTAGATCCAGGTTTATTAATAATGTCAGACTTCATTTGAACCATTCCAGAAATTTCTCTGGTTGCCTCCAGCTACTTGCCACAGGTGGCTATTTTCTCCTGAAATTAACAGTCTTCCCACATACAAATGGAGATTCTTTTTTGTTTTTCCCTAGAAAATAAAGTCTCAGGGCCCAATAAATACTTAAAGAGAATGTGGTTTTAATTAAAAACCTTCTGCCAAGGCTGCAGCTACAAGTCTGTCTTCCCAAGCATACATGCTGGTTGACAGCCCCAAGACCCGAATCTGAATCCAGAAACCTTTACAAATAATAATGGCAATGTGACTGCATGTATGAGGGGGCAGGTGGTGATGAAGGATGTCTAGGGACAGATCCAAGCTCCTTTCCCTTTGGGGTAAGCGGTACACAAGCATGTAGGGGTGCATGTGGTTGCATGTTTCATCATACCTGTATCCAAGTCTACAAGACCACAATAGTGGACCATTTTATCCAGCTATTGCTGAAAAAAATAATAGCTACTTCACAGAGCACTAAGTGTCTTATACTGAGTGCTTTGCAATAGCTTGGCTCATTTAACCTTCACAAGGTCCCCAGATCATAGGCAATCTCATTTATTCATTATTTTTCCTTTGAAGCACAGAAAGATTAGGTAATTCAGCCAGAGCCCCATAGCTAGTGTATGATAGAGTTCGATGCTACAGAGACGTGGTGGTGATAGTGTAGAAACAGGGCCTGGCTTCCCTTGGGAGTGATCTTTCTCATGGAAATTAAGAAAGACAAGCACAAATAATTGCTGGGAACACGGTGTGTGTGTGCGTGTGCATGTGCATATGTTTTACCTGACAGACACTATAAAGTGTGTGGCAGTGACATTCTAGAGTGTGTGGCTAGAGGGCAGCAGTAGGGAAGGTCTCCAGAGCTGGCTGCTATGCGGGGGATGTTTAAACGTTTGATACCCATCTGGGCCTTGGCTTTCTTGTTCTTGGAAGTTCTTCCTGAATCCCCAGGCAAGACCATTAAAATGTCCACATGACACATTAAAATACAGGGGCATGGGCAGGGTATGGTGGCATATGCCTTTAATCCCAGCACTCGGGAGGCAGAGGCAGGCAGATCTCTGTGAGTTCAAGGCCAGCCTGGTCTCCATAGCGAATCCAGGCCAGCTGGGGCTACAGGAAGACCCTGTCTCAAAACGACCAAAAAAAAAAAAAAAAAAAAAAAAAAAAAAAAAGCCCTAAAATACAGGGGCATGTGATTGAACACAATTGCAGCAGAATCGTGCTCACAATGTTTCCTGTCTTAAACGTTTAGTCAAAAATCTATAACCTCAACACTTGCTGTTTCTTTTCCTTTCTTAAGGTCAATACATTTTCTTTGCCAACTCTGGGACATTTTAGAATCCTCTGGCAATGTAATGAGACCGAGGGACAGGCCTGAAAGAGGAAGCACTCCCTGTAAGGGAGATAGATACACAGGAGGCTTTCTTTTCAATCCAATTGAACTCCCTCATTGACTTTACGTGGGACTCCAGGAGAATGGAACAATACCTGGGTGCTAGGAATAATGTGGAGATATAAACTGGCCAAACAAGAGAAAGGAGGGCAAGTCACATATTCTTGGGGCGCACGGTGGGGAGCATTAGGGAAAGCTTCCGGGTTTTGGTTAAGCGCGTCCCTCCAGAGCATTGCGCTCCAGCACCACAGAACCCTGGGCAGAGCCTAGGTGTCCAGTTCAAACCGCAGCTCTGCTCGCCTAGGCCAGGACCTCGCCTGCTATCCTGCCTCTGTGCCCTGCAGGCGTTATCCAGCAGGGGGCGCGCGGGGACCAGGGTTAGGCTCCAAACCAGCACAGACCCTTCCGGTTTCAGGGCTTATCTATGATCCCCGGCCCAGAAGGTTGAAATTAGAGGTCAGTCCACAAAGAAGCCAGGGATTTCAGCTCTCTTCCCCGGGTCTTCTTGGGTAAAAAAAAAAAAAAAAAAGCTTATGCCCGAACTGGATTCTGAATCTGGGGTCCCTGCTCTCGGACCTTGGAACTTTGTATCCTTCCTTTCTTCCACTCCTACTTCACTCACCCGTTTAAGTGCCTGTTTGTTTGACGATCGAAGACGTAGACGGTGGCGGGGGTGGTATTTTCGCTCCCCTCCGGTTTCCTGGTCCCTCTGTAACTGTAGCCTTATTAACTGTATAAGCAATAGACTTGCTCTGGCGCGCGGGGCGGGCAATGCGCCTAGTCTTCTAGCTGAGCTCAGTGGTTGAACCCGGAATTGCTGCTCCCACCCCAGACTCCCGGCGGATTCTTCCAGGGGTGACTTGGGCTCCAGCCCTGCGGAGAAGGGCATGGGCTCTCCAGGGTTGAAGACAGGTTTAAGGGGGTGTCTTCTTCTCTGAGCAGACTCGGGCAACGAAGCGCTTTGAGGTAGAGTGGGTGAGAACCGCCTGGGTCCTCGAGGAATCCGCATCCAAGGCTGGGTAGTCGCCACGCCCTTAGCTACCCTTGGGGCGCTGGAAAGGCTCTTTTCACACGAAACCCTCTGGCTTCTGCGTCCTTAGGAAAAAGACAGCCAGAGTCCTAACAGCTTTCGGAGACACCAGCTGGGCACGGCCCTGCGGTCCAGGCAAGCTCTAATGGGAGAGTTCGGGAACCCATTCTCCCTTCCAGCCTGGGTCCCTCTCTCCTTCCAAGTTGTCCCTCTGCCTGCTTGCCTCCCGGACACACTCAAAAAGAACTGGACTAGAGGTGAAAACCTCCGGAGACACTATTCGCTACCCCTGGCGCAACCACGCCATATACCTCCCTCTCCCTGACCCGGGAAAGTCTCCAGTGCTAGACAGTCCCTCGACATCCCAGAGCAGACCTTTCACTCCCTCTGCTGCCACACCTCCTGGCCCCCTCAAATCCCTTTTTGGGGCGAGGCCTCCTCAAGTTCTTAGAACCTCGGCAACATACCAGGAGAACACACACACACACACACACACACACACACACACACACACACACCCCGCCCTTTCTTTGCAGACAAAGAAGTCGGTGCCAGGTCGGCTGTTGGCGCCACTCCAGCTCCAAACCTCAGGGCTCTGTCCCAGCCTAGGGTCCTGCTCTGGATGGGCCAGGGCTCGCAGGGCACCCCACTGTTCTTCTTAAAGACACCTTCCTGGGACCAACTAAGCGCCCTATTCCAGAGTTGTCTATCGGACCCCAGGTCTGAGCAGGTGTACAGACCATCTAGGTTCGGAAATTAGCAGAGTAAAAAGTGCTGGTTCTTGTAACAAGGAATAGGAAAGACGGAGGGACCCCAAGTGGGCATGCACCAGTCTGTTCATATTTAATTCACAAACCCAGCCGGGTGGTCTCTTTAGATGCAGTGTTCTTCCCAGTCTCCCTCCACCACCCTCTCTCCAGCTCATTAAAATGCTTAACACTCAAATCCGGGTATTGATCTCCGCAAAAGCCCCAAACACGTGCAATCGACTCAACAAGACAGAAAGCTGCCTCTGATGAGGGCTGGGAGACCACATGCGCCCCAAGATCACAGTGTCTACAGGAAGAGTGGGAGGAGCCGGCTCTGAGTGTCCCCCAAAGCCTTTCGGGTTCTGGCTAACAGCTCTGCCTCCGGGGGGATCCATAGGCATGGAGTGGGATGGCGGCGTTTTAGCCAAATGCCTCGACATCCCTTCGCCTCCGTCTGCTTGTCGCCAAAAGAAATGTCGGGGTTTTGCTACAGATAGAGAACAGTGGGTCCGCTGAGGCCAGCTGTTGTGTGAGGGTGTGAGACAGCAGGGCGGTGGTTCCCCATCCCAGCTTTAGTAGAAGGGGGTGGTGGTGAAGGGGTTAGCAGTATGCTTGCTAGAGAGGCTGAGAGGGTAGGTGTAGGAAATGCTTGGGTCTTAGTCCCTAGCCCATGGTGCTAAAGAGAAGCAGACGTTTTGTAACCATCCCTGTCCCTGTCGCCGCTATCTTCTGCAGCCTCAGCGCCCTATTCTGCAGCAAGCAAGGGCGGAGTGAGGTACTTAAGTGCGTTCAAGCTAGTGTCGAGGGCTCTGCTGACACCCAAGTGCCCAGGCCCTACCCCACGGTGCACACACGCTAGCCCACCGGCAGTGGAGTACGCAGGTTGGGTTTTTGCCACAAAAGACTAGACTGTGGAGTTCCGGATTAAAGAGTCTGGGCAGGATTGGCGGTGGACTAGAGAGGTGGGTGTCTCTTCCCCGCCAAGCTCTGTAGGGCTGCACGCTCTCATCTGGCGAGTTAGACAGCGGGGGTGGGGGAGACCAGGGCTTATGTCTGCCCAGATCCAGGCAAAAATGGTAGGGAGGGTGAGGCGCTCTGCTAACACTATCAATTATGCATCGTGTTGAACGTGGCTTCGGGGAGGAGGGGGCTAGCAGCGGGGAGCGGGAGGCAAAGGGTCGGTACTAGCCAGGCTGCGCGCAGCTCTGTCGGTCCCGCTGGAGGTCTTTCTGCGCCACTGCTTGCATTTGAAAAAAAAAAAAAGAAAGAAAGAAAAAAGAAAAGTGTTTAAAGCAAAGACACGCCCCCTCCCTCCTATGCCTTTCTTTCTCCCAAATTCCTCAAAGATGGTTTGCCTCACGTGCTGCGGGGCGTAAAAATGACTCGCATACAATTAACAGCGAAGCTCCAGGGCGCTGGCGGGACGGGCGTGTGAGGGTGAGTGAGCAGAATGTGTGTGTGCGCGCGCGCAAAAGAGAACGGTAAGTGTTCGGATGAAGGTGTGCTTGTGAAAATGTGTGTGGAGGTAGCGAGGACTCAGCACGTTGATGCGATTGTTACATGGTGATGAGTAATTCCTAAGAGTGAAGGTCGAGTGGAGAGGCTGCGCGTGTGCCAGCGTGTGTGGGTGGACATGAGGAATAGTGACAATGTCAGTGAGTGTGTAAATGTTAAGAGTATGTTATAGGGGTGCAGTAGGTAGGGAAGAGCTGAGCCTAGGGCTGTGGGCGTGTGGTGCCCCCGGGTGACCGACGTGACTGGCCTGGAGAGGGTCTCTATGGCTTTAACAAACGTAAACGCTGCAGGAGGTGGGAGAGGCTATGCGCGTTCCCGCCGAGCCCGGGGGCGCGCGCGCGAGGGCTCTCTCCAACCTGCAGCCTGTGAGAAGTGGGACGAACAAATAGGAAAGGAAATATTGAAGTGGGACTTCAGGCTTGGGGTGGGGGTGGTCCGCACACTTACCTGTCCCTTTCTCCGCCCTTTCAACCGGTTTCCTCACAGCCGCAGCAACAGATGCTGGAAGCTCTCTTGGACTGTCCGAAGAAGGGTTTGCAGACACAGGCTGCACACTGCAAGTCAGAGAGCAACGGATAAGCAGTGGAACCCCCACAACCTCAACCTAGAGGGTAGGTCCAACCTAGGGCTCTGCTGGGGTCAGGTGGCTGTCTGGGAGGAACAAGGGAGGTGCCGCCACCCTTAGTAGCAAAGGCAGAAAGGGGACCTGTAATCCCAAAGATAGGGTGTGGGAGGGGTTCTGCCAAGTCTGACAGGAGTCTCAAGTGGGGGTAGGGAGTCTATGTTAATGTATTTGTGTGACTAGAAACGGGGTGGGGAGGGCTCTTGGAACTTAGACATCCTGGAGCTGTGCAGAAAGGTTCAGAATCTTGAACCTTCTCCAGGTTTATTAGCTTTTGGCTGTTCCCCTAACCTGTGGGCTAGGAGCCCCTCTGCTCCCCTAGGGCCACCTGGGATCTGTGGGATCCAAAGAGGAAGCATAGTGACTAACCCCATAATAGACTTGATCCAGGCATGGGGGAGGGTTTCCTTCCCAGACTGAAGGTTGACTGGGCTGTTGTGACTCTCTCCAGAGGGGAACAGCAGCCCAAGACAGCAGGAGGCTAGGGATGGGTAAGTGGGTGAAGGCTTCCCCAGATCTCACACTGCAAGCCACCTCCACAACTTCTCCATATTGCTCATCTGCTCAGGTTTCAGTCTCAGAGGGGGGCTACGTGCACATGCAAGAAGTGCCTATGTCCCTGTGTGTGGGTTGGTTCATATAAGGACTTAATGTCCTTGTGTCTGTCAATTTTCACAGTGAACAGAAAAGTGCTTTGCACTGTGGTGGAAAGCACTGTACCAAAGCTGGGTTCAGTGGAGAGAACAATGAGGTCTCAGGGAGACTATGAAGCTGTCTGGGTGCCAGTGTTTTTATGTCTAGGCAATGCATTGTGAACCTCCTGATAAGAGTATCAAGTCCTGTAGATGGCAGCTGCATGGAGATGCCTGAGCTTCTGTTTGTATTGTTGTTGCCTGCAAGGGACTGTGTGTGAGTACTGCGTGTGGGACAAAGGATTCCAGAGAGGACAGCCAGTCATGAACGAAAATATCCTTTCTGTAGATCCATTTCACCAGGTTAAGTGAAGATTTAGAAAGAGGGGTCAGTGTAGAACCCACCACAGACCACAAGCAGTGGTGCCTTTGGAGGGACCAGTTCCAGGGCCAGGGGATAGGTAGGAAAACAGGGCCATGCTTCATGCCCTCCAGACTAGGAAGTCAGGGCGCTGGAAGCAAGCATTATTGAACCTGCAGACTTTGACTGAGCTTCACTGGGTGACAAAGAGAAGTTTCTGGTCACAGAGGAGCCCTGGAGTCAACCTTAGACAAGTCTGGGAGGTAGAGCTTGTTAGGGGAAGGAACCTGGGACTCTGTAAGTCACCTTCTCTCTTCCCCCTTGGCTTCCATATGCAGGAGCGGTGATGGAGACCCGTCGAGCCCTGTGGTTGGCTTGGGCGCTGCTAGGAATGGCCAGAGCATGTCCCGAGCCATGCACCTGTGTAGACAAGTATGCTCACCAGTTTGCAGACTGTGCGTACAAGGAGCTGCGCGAGGTCCCTGAAGGACTGCCCGCGAACGTGACCACGCTGAGCTTGTCCGCCAACAAGATTACGGTGTTAAGACGTGGGGCTTTCGCCAACGTCACGCAGGTCACTTCCCTGTGGCTGGCGCACAGTGAGGTGCGCACTGTAGAGTCAGGGGCATTGGCCGTGCTGAGTCAGCTCAAAAACCTCGACCTAAGCCACAACCTCATATCCAACTTCCCTTGGAACGACCTTCGTAACTTGAGCGCGCTGCAGCTGCTGAAAATGAACCACAACCACCTGGGATCGCTGCCCCGAGATGCACTGGGCTCGCTGCCGGACCTGCGCTCCCTACGCATCAACAACAACCGGCTGCGTACTCTGGAGCCCGGCACCTTCGATGCCCTAAGCGCGCTGTCCCACCTTCAGCTCTACCACAATCCCTTCCACTGCAGCTGTGGTCTTGTGTGGCTACAAGCTTGGGCCGCAAGCACCCGCGTCTCCTTGCCCGAGCCTGATTCTATAGCATGTGCCTCACCTCCAGAGCTGCAGGGAGTGCCTGTGCACCGCCTGCCTGCCCTGCCCTGCGCTCCTCCCAGCGTGCGTCTGAGCGCAGAACCCCCGCCAGAAGCGCCTGGCACCCCTCTGCCCGCAGGCTTGGCTTTCATGTTACACTGCATCGCGGAAGGCCACCCTACACCCCGCCTGCAATGGCAACTTCAGATCCCGGGTGGTACTGTAGTCTTAGAGCCACCGGTCCCCAGCCGGGAAGACGTTGGAGATAAGGCAGAGGATGGGGAAGGTGAAGAAGATAGGGACCTGTCTACTCAGACTGAGGCCCCAACCCCGACTCCAGCACCCGCTTGGCCTGCGCCCCCAGCCACCCCTCGTTTCTTGGCCCTAGCAAATGGCTCCCTGCTGGTGCCCCTCCTGAGTGCCAAGGAGGCAGGCATCTACACCTGCCGTGCACACAATGAGCTGGGTGCCAATTCGACGTCAGTAAGGGTGTCGGTAGCTGCAGCTGGGCCGCCAAAACACGCTCCTGGAACAGGGGGAGAACCTGATGCACAGGCCCCAACCTCTGAGCGCAAAGCCACAGCCAAGAGTCGCAGCAACAGCGTCCTGCCCTCCAAACCTGAGGGCAAAACCAAAGGCCAAGGCATGGCTCGGGTCAGCATCCTTGGGGAAACCCAGGCGGAGCTGGAGGAGACAGAAGAAGGAGAGCAGGAGGAAGATCAGAACCCTGCAGATCCAGTGGAGGAGAAGCACTGTGGCCACGGGGATCCCGCTCGGTACGTGTCTAACCACGCATTCAACCAGAGTTCAGAGCTCAAGCCACACGTTTTCGAGCTGGGAGTCATCGCGCTGGACGTGGCGGAGCGTGAAGCCCGGGTGCAGCTGACGCCTCTCGCTACGCGCTGGGGCCCCGGACCAGATGGGGTCTCCGGAGCTCGGCGGCCTGGACGCCGGCCCCTGCGCCTACTCTATTTGTGTCCGGCCGGGGGCGGCGCGGCTGTGCAGTGGTCACGCGTGGAGGAGGGCGTCAATGCATACTGGTTCCGCGGTCTGCGGCCGGGCACCAATTACTCCGTGTGCCTAGCGCTGGCGGGCGAAGCGTGCCACGTGCGAGTGGTGTTCTCCACCAAGAAAGAGCTGCCCTCCCTGCTGGTTATCGTGACGGTGAGCGTGTTCCTCCTGGTGCTGGCAACCGTGCCCCTGCTAGGCGCCGCCTGCTGCCATCTGCTGGCCAAACACCCAGGCAAACCTTACCGTTTAATCCTGCGGCCACAGGCTCCCGATCCTATGGAAAAACGCATCGCCGCCGACTTCGACCCCCGAGCCTCCTACCTTGAGTCTGAGAAAAGCTACCCAGCAGGTGGAGAAGCCGGAGGTGAGGAGCCAGAGGAGGTCCCGGAGGAGGGCCTTGATGAAGACGCAGAGCAGGGGGACCCAAGCGGAGACCTGCAGAGGGAGGAGAGTCTGGCGGCTTGCTCACTGGTGGAGTCCCAGTCTAAGACCAACCAAGAGGAGTTCGAGGCCGGCTCAGAGTACAGCGATCGGCTGCCCCTGGGCGCGGAGGCGGTCAACATCGCCCAGGAGATTAACGGCAACTACAGGCAGACCGCAGGCTGAGCCCCGAGCACGCCTGTCCTGCCCAATCCCACCTCTGCCTTGGGTACCTGGTAGCAGACGCCTAGGGATGGGGAGGGCTTTCCCACCCTCACCGGACCCCACCCCACTCTTACCAACCTTCACTTACTCTGCACCCTTAGCCCTCCCAGCCTTCACTACTAGGGACTTCTAGTAGAAGTGGGCCCAAATCAGCAGTGGCCGGCCAGGCATGGTCATTCTCTCTGCGGGCTCAACCCCTACCCCCACTTAAAGCACAGCCTCGGGCTCCTACCTCTTGTAAAATACCACCCACTGATGGCGAGTCCGGGTCTATGCCCTCCATTCCATCATGATAATCTGAGAAGTTAGCCTCTCAACCGGCCCCACCCTGGAATCTGGAGGCCAGGGGAACTCGACTGTCGCTGACCATACCTGGTTACAAACGCAGTTGGTTCTGGGATTTGCCCAGGACCTCCCCTCCACCCCAGGACATGTCCCCAGCCTAGAGCGCTGTGTTCTCACCTCGACCCTGGACTCCGCTTTTTCAAAGTTGCATGTGTCAGAGGCAGGCTAATTTTTGGTCTCAAAACCTCCTCCCTACAGTAACCTTAATCCCAGTTTCTCTCCATCCCTACCCCGGCCAAATTCTTGTCCAGTTGGCGCCAAGCCTGGTGCCTGGGGTGCCATTGAGCTCCAAGCTCTGATTTTCTTATTTTCGTTGTTTTCAAAGACAGCGACTTTTCTGGGTCCGGTGCTAACACCCGCCCCGCCCCCAACTTCTAGGAAACTGGAGTATCAGGTGAGAGAGAGGAAATCATTTTTCTTCCGTTTCCTAATTTAAAGTTGTCAGACCACACGCCCCTTTCTGTGCAAAGTGCGGGCTTGGTCCCTGGCCAATTTCGGAGTCTGTGTCTTGCGGTTGCCAGAGACTGGTGGAGCACCACAGTGGCTTCTGCGTCCCTATCGCGCCCAGACTCCAGCAGGAAAGCTCTGGGGATGTAGGCAGCCAACTGTGGCTCCCGGGACGCATCTCTCAAGGGATCTAGCGCCCTGCTACGCACAAAGCCTGCGCTAGACAACCAGTGGTGCGAAGTTGGGGGGAAATCCCGGGGTCCTCGCGTAGCCCTGCCCTGCCCCGCCCCTCCTTCCAGAATAGTGTAGGGCCCGCAGGGCGTGGTCTATAGAAGTCTGTGTCCTATAAAGTGTAACCGTGTTGGGTAGGGGGGCGGGAGGGCAGGCGTACGGGAGGGCAGGTGGGCAAGGAAGGAGGGAGGGGGAGGGTGGCCGTGGCGCAGGGACTCTGGCTGGGACTGGTTTTCTTTTTTCTACAAAGCGTCGGGGGTGGGGTTTTCAGCATACGGACCAGCCCGCTCCGCGAAGTGCAGCACAAGCGTGGTGGCCCCGGGAGGAGTTGCCCCCGGAGCCCACGTCCTTTTTTAAATGCTTCTGTATGTAAACAGTCAATAAAGTAATCGATTTGAACTGGGCTTGATGACTTTTTCGGGGGTGGGGGAGAGAGAGGAGGGGTCAGAAGAGGAAAGAGGCTGGGGGGTTAAGAAAATCGCAGAAGCCGCTTTTTGAGGGTCCTTGGGTGTTTGCCCAATGGTCGGGTAATATTGTCAGGTGTTCACACCTGATCCTGCTATGGATGCTTCCAATCGGTGGTGGAGAGGTGAGATCACTTGGGGGTGAGAAGAGGCCGAAATCGAGCGGGGCGGGATTGGGGATTGCGTAGAGTAGAGCGCTGGTGTCTGCAGACCCTGAACGCTGGGAATTCCTCCAGGAGGAGTAGGTATGTGTGCGCCACCAGCAGTGAAGTAAGCTCAACACCACCATTCTCTTTGGTTGAGACTGTTGGTGCTGGTGTGCTGGTGCGTGTGTGTGTGTGTGTGTGTGTGTGTGTGTGTGTGTGTGTGTACCGCCTAGTTTCTGTTTCTCAGCATCAGTCTCAGCTCGCTGAGAAGCGGTGGGGGATGGGATTCACAGACAAGGACTGCAGGGACTTGCAGAGAGAAGTCTCAATACATCTCAGAAAAGGTGAATGATGGGGAAAAGGTAAAAAGTTGCCTAAGGCTCACTCCTCTGGACAGGCTTGCACAACAAAGTCAGTATGTGCCTTTCAGAGGTGATGCCTGGAGTGCTAAAGTGGCTCACCCTGGAATCGGGACTGAAATCACACTGGTTTAATTGTTCTAGAAATGGGAACCAGGAAAGACAAGGGGAATCAGGAGTAGATGCATCTGACCAGTGCTGGGATTGGACTGTCTGTGGGGTTCAGTTGTGCCTGGAAAAGGTAGGAAATGATTGGGAAGGGCGGTGAAAGACCAGAGAACATGGGTACCAGGTCTTCTAATTGGACAGGTTTAAGGTGAAGAGCAGGCCCAGGTCAGACATCCAGAATTTAATCCCAGCCCCAGGCTCTCCCTCAGCTTCCTGCTCAAGCCCAGCCTTGCAGCCCAACTTGGCCAGGAATCGCAACTTGGTAGGGGGTAGGAACTGACTTAATTCCTAGGACTGGTTCATGAATTTGCTCACAGGATTATACCTATATACAAGCTTGACTGGACCAGTGAGTACTCTGTGTTTGTGTTTGTTTGTTTGTTTGCTTGCTTGCTTGCTTGTTTGAGACAGGTCTCCTTGTAGCCCCAGTCTGGCTATGTTGTAAACCAGGCTGGCCTCAATCTCATAGAGATCCTTCTGCCTCTGCCTCTGGAGTGCTAGGATTAAAGATGTGAACCAGGCATGCCCAGTTCCTTCCTGTTCTCCCTTAAGAATTGGCAGCCTTCTAGATACCCAGAAGGAGCTTGAGGACTCTGTGGGGAAGCTGAAAGTTTATCCCCTTTTTTGCCTGGGACCAAGCTTCCAAACAGAGGAACAGGCATTACTCAGCTAGATTTTGTGTTCCCTGAGCGAAGTCAGGCTTGCAGGCTCTGCTTATAGGATAGGACCCAGAGGTATGGAGACTAGAGGCCAGGGTGCTGGGGCTCCTGTCAGCATGTACTAAGATACAAGTTTTCTCAGGAACTTTCTGGTTTCTGTCCAAATGTTTGCATATGCATAGAATGGTCCCTAGCCTCTGATTTTCCTCTGGCCCCATGTAGATTTTATTCTATCACCCCCTCTCCCCTTTTCCCTCTTTTTCCCTTGCAGTTGTTCCAATTCAGCTGCGCACTTGAGATTCAAGTCTTTCTTATAGTGTTCCCATCATGTGGTTGTTTGACCTTGACTTGTGTTTATTCAGAGGTGGGGGACTCACTATTCACTCCTTCCACCACCATGGAGCTGATTGCTGAATAGTTTTGAGTCTCTCCTGCTGTCATCCCTCTAGCCTGACTTTGCCACTGGCATATGCCCTGTGGGGACCTGCAGGGAGGTGTGGTCCTCATCTCCATTCTTCACTCCAGAGTACCACCACTTTTCATTCAATGCACCTTCTTTGAGCACCTACTGTATGCTTCAGGTGCTATGCTAGTTTGGTTTTCTCCAGGGTGTGTGGTCATAAAATGTATTTGGATACCGTACAGAGATGGTGTCCAATGAGCTGAAGGCTATGTGCATGCAGGCAAGCATGTGTGTGCTGTATGTGTGTCTAGTTGGGAACCGAGGGAGCTGGAAAATGATCAGAAAATGCAATATGACAGCAGAGCATTATGTCGAGCAGTAATTCTTTGAGCTATAGAAACCAGATGCCCAGGATGTGGCCTTGAATTCAATCAGAAACCTGTCTGCAGAAAGGTGGTTTGAAAGGAGAGCTCCCCCACACGTGTTTCCTAAGGATCAGCTAGAATGACAACCATCCTGAGGACTATTAAGAGAAATCCATTAATATGAAGGAACAAAGGAAGGCACGGTTTCTCTGGCAAGGAAGGAGCTGGTGTGAGGACCAGCTTCCAGATCTGCCTCCAGAATGTAGCCCTCGACAGTGATAGCTGGGTAACAACCCAGACTCAAGTTAATGTATCCAAAAGTAGGAGAGGCAGACGTTACTTTCTGATAGTGATGAGAGTTTTAATTTTCTTCTTTGGTTCTCAGGGCAATGATTTTCAGTAGATAAAGGGGGAAGGGTGGCATCTTGCGGTGACTATCTCACTCAGGATTTGTTAACACTGAGCCCAAGTACGGAGCACTCTCGGGGGTGGGGCAGGGTGGGAAGATGGACTGCTGTCTGTATCAGAAAAAGCATCACCTGCAGAAAAAGGACCAGGAGCTCATGAGCACTGAGCAGGGGAAGCTGGGAGGCTCTGTCTCACAGGTGAAATGAATACTTGGGGAGGTGGGGGGGGCGGCAAGCACAGGTACCAGGACATAACAAAGACTCCATGTGGAGTCCAGAATTTACCATGCTTGACCTAACAAATACTTTGTTATACACCTGCAACATGAAGCTATTGACAAGAGAAATCAAGCTAGAAAACTGGGGATGGAGCAAGCAGAGCCATTCCACTTGTCAATTAATTGATTGCATTTGAAACACACCTACCCACAGCTATATGTTCAGTGACAAGACTTTTCCTTAGGGCTCAATAGGGAATAGCATTATATTGAAAATGAAATATCTGCTGTGACTGGCCTATAGAACAGAATGAATTATAAACTGTCTTGCAACATTAACATTTAATTCAAAATCAACCAGTATGTTTAAGAAGACTTGACATGGATTTTTTAAAAAGTCATTCAAAGACCCCATGCTGGGTAGAGAAATCCAACTTGCTGGTTTAAATCTGTTGAGAAGACAACAGATTGGATGATTAAGTAGTCTGATGATGATATGGTTAAAAAATTGTGCTAATTGTATATGCTTTGTTTGGGCATGTGAGTCTAAGTTTAATAATTAAGTTATGGAACATGGAGGACAGAAATGCTTATATTTTATCAACTGTTCATTCTTAAACATACTCCCTTGTGTATTAGGAGTTAATTTGATTTTGGCAAATTAGATGCATCTTCTCTTTGCAACACTCTAGCAAACTGGTCCTCAAATTGAGTCTAAAAGCCGAAACACATCCAACCATTTGAGAGAAAAACTGCCAGGGTCATAGAAATGAGAGAACTTGGAAAGAATTAATCAGCGTTGAAATGGAGAATAATGACAGGGAATTAATTTCCAAATGTGTTTTCATAAAAGTGAGTTGTTAAGCACAGACTGACTATTCTAATGGTCACTGCCTAATATTAACACAAATAATAATACCAATAAAAGCCAAAGTTGATTGAATATCTGCCATATTCCAGGCCTATGTTATGCTTTACAATCATCATTTTATTAATCCTGTGACAAGCCTGTGAGGTGGCATTATTATTATTCCAATATGCAGGCAAAGAAACCAGAGAACAGAGATGGTTAGTACTTTCTGAAGGTCATACAGCTATTGATTTGTAGAATTGAGGTTTGTCTCCTTCTCTGACTCCAATACCAGAACTCTTAGCTATCAAGCCAAGGCTCCTTCTGATTCCTCTGATTTAATCTGATTAATCTGATTTTCGGAAAGGTAATATGTTCCATATATTGTTAAATCTGTTGCTATTTATGGAGTGAGTCCAGAAAAAGTATTTCTGTCTTCTGTTTCAAAATAGCATTTTTCCCCCTGATTATAAAAGTAATGCCTGCCTGAGTCCAAGACAGGATGATTATGAGTTTGAGGATAGCCTAGGCTACATATCAAGTTCTAGGCCAGCCTGAGCTACATAGGAAGACCTTGTCTAAACAAAACAAAGGTAATTCTTGCTTAGAATATTGCCATTGCTCTTGGTTACTCCCCTTAACTAGATGGTAAGACTCCATTGCTGAGGACACAACACACTTTTGTTGTGACACATAAAGAAATCAAGCAGGAACTGACCTGGAAACTTCCCACTGACAGGCTTTCATAGTGCTGAAAGGTGCCATGCAGACCAATAGGAGAGAAAAGTCATCAAAGAGCTTATGCAGCAGTGGACCCTGCAGGCTATACCACCTTCCAGGCAAGATGTGCTCATGCAACAAGTGCATAACTGTTGTGGGGATAACCAACTGTTTTCTGACTGGCTTTGAGGCCTGCCGCATAGGAGGGAATGCATGCCTGGTACTGTAAACCTGGTCAAAAGCCTATGGCTGGGGAGGTCATAGACCCAGGGGAGCTACTACTGTTGTTTTTCTAAAAAGACATGTTCAACTGCCTTCTGAATATTTATGTTTGGAGTTGGAGAGGTGGCTCAGCAGTTAAGAGCACTTGCTGCTTTTCCAGAGGACCTAGGTTTGGTTCCTAGCTTCACATGGTAGCTAACATCCATCCTCTCTCTAGTTCCAGGGGGTCTGATGCTCTCTTCTGGCTTCCTCAGGTACTAGGCATGCATGTGGTACATTTATATTCACACAGGTGAAACATTCATACACATGAAAAAAACAAACACCAACATCCTTAAAAAACGTTTATGTTTATACCCATAGATTAGTGCTGCTCTGAGTCTTGATCAGAGAAACTTCATTTTGCAATATGTGGC